CTATACACTACCTATTACTACACGTACATGTACAGTATATGTACTTGAAGTGTCCTCCTACAAGAGCTAGTACTGATACTTCTACAGTCTCTGATGCTGATAGACTATCCTCTGGTACACTAATCCTCAGTCCATACTCCTCCCAGTTCATCAGTTGAGGTTTGTCTCCTTGAACTAAGAACAACTTCTTCCCTGCTATTTGGGACTCACTCAGACCTTCCAAATTATCTGTAGAAAGTATAACACGTGAAATTATGTATTGTTAAAATGTGTATGTAATTATGGCAAAGTTGAGATAATGAACCATAATTCATGTAAAGCTACAGTGAAGTACACATATATGCATCAAAAAAATTCTAAATGTGGAGATTTCTCTATGTTTCAATTTTGGTAAAATTTGGCTCGAGACTGTGTACTATAGTACAGGAACTAACCTTGTGATGGTACAAGATAGTTGAACTGAATTTCTTTGTCAAGAGCTAAAGTATAAAAGTGATAATAAATAAATAAATAAATAAATACTTGTTTGTGTTGTTTTTATTTCTTTGTTTTCAGCTTCAATATGATTCTCAAATTCTTTTGAATCTTTTACTAAAAATAATGATGATTAATATACATGTCAACATCAACAACATACCATTAATATCATACTCTTCATCATTATTCATTGTATAATGTCCAGTAGGTAATTCATGTAAACCTACAGTGAATGACAATGTACAGTACATGAGTAAAATTAATATATATCAATCACTAATCCTTACCTTTCAGTATATCATCTCTATCCATTCTTTTCAATGATTCTTTCAGTTCAGTTATTGTTCTATCCTTCTCATGACACCAGGTCTCAAGTACATGAGTTAATCTTGAATCAACTGGTGTCATCTCTTTGATTTCAGTTAACACTGATTCCTTCACTTCAAGACACTGTCCAATGTGATACCAGTCATCTTTAACTGGTTCCAGTATCACTGATAATTGGGATATGTCACCTATAAAATGATATTAAACAATGTCTTTTAAGTTATGTACATGCAAATTTAATTGTAAAAGGGAAATTTTGATAAATTTAAGATCAAAAACTTATTGTACAGTTACAAATAAAATTCTCAACCATTATGCATATGTCATGTACACATGATATAGATGAGCTCAATTTTGATGTATAAAGCCACAAATTCCACCCACCAATCACTATAAATTCCTAAAGTCCAAATATGGTAACCACTTGAATCATTCATGTGGTCTATCAGTAGATACAGTTTATATTAGAGTACTGGACTAACCTTTACTGATATAAGTACATGAATGTACAGTCTCAGTCTCTTGTAATATCTCAGTCTCTTCTTTCTGTTGTACTGGTACTATCAAATACAATTTAATAATTTATTATCATTAATTAATAATACATGTAAATGTATTTACCATTATGATCTTTAAGTAATGACATCAATCTTTCATTCTCCAGTATCAATGCTTTCCTTTGTTCTAATTATAAGAAGAGGTCATTAACTAGTAATGAATAATGTGTGTAGGTGTGTACATACTTTGAAATGTTTCACTGTCATTTATAATCTTTTTTATAATACTCTGTAATTCTATAAACAGTAAAATAATGTGTATGTTGAAAACAATAAACTAAACATATATGTACTGGTACATATACTATAATGTACAAGTACACAGTACACACACACATACCTGATACTTCCTTAGGGTTTTTGACTTGCTGTAGTTCTAATTCTTGTTGAAGATCATCAATCTTTATTTGTAATTCATCTTTCTCTTTTAGAGCAACTTCTTTCTGTCTCACGAAACTGGAGGATCTTTGTATCTCTTCTTTCAGTTTCTTTTGAAATTCCTCCAGTTGTTTATGAGTAAGTTCATTGTCTACAGTGTAACAACGATTGTAGTATCAATCAACATGCAATAATTAAATTATATTAACCTGATTTTAATTCTTCATATTGCTCTCCCTTCAGTTTCAAGAGACCAATAACTTCCTCATGTAGTTCAGTAAGTGCTGCTATTTTCTTTTCACTTTGAATGAGTTTCCTTTTCTGTTGAAGTAGTTCTTCTTCATATTCCTTTATAACTTGTTCATGAAATTGTTCCTCTTTTATATATAATTCCTTTTCTTCCTCCAGTTCCTTTTCAATACGTTCAACTTTCTTCTGTAGCAACATAACTTGATCCTCATCCTTTGTGTCTTCCTCCTCCTGGTAAAAATGACTCACTGATTCTGTTGCTCCTATACACAATAGTTACATTATGTATCATATTAAAATATTGATATACCTGCAGGCACTTCAGTTGCAAATGTAGCATCTTTACTTAGTACAATAGGATCATCAAAATCATCAGTGAATGATTCTTGTTCCCAATCTTTCCATAAACTATCACCACTACTATCACTTATAATGGCATTTACTGTGACATGATGTGATAATACAGCTGATGACAGACTCTTAACATCATTAAGTACTGAATAGCCAGCAACTTCATCAACAAAGATGGTAATATACTTAATTAGTGATGAAACTTTTAAAAGCTGTCCTTCCAAAAATTGTATAAGCTTCATTTTTAACTCTTCAACAGCTCCTTTATATTCCTTAATAACTAGATTAGCCTCCTCTATACTGAACTCATTAACAAGATACTCCAACACACTAATATTATCAAGTGAACTGTTCTCACGAACTAATTGTAGAATGTCTATGATATCCTTACACTGAGC